GGAGTAAATATATAATTTATATGACTTAATTTTATGCAAATTTCTTATTCTAAAACAATTATTACATTGATGTATAATATATGTACATAGTTTTGGGGTGCATGTGATAATTCAATATACTCATATCATTATTAAATATCAAATCATTGTACTTGGGATATCCATTACTTTAAATATTCCAGTCATATAATTTTCCTATGAACAAAATAGAGAAAGCCTGTTCTGGAAAGCATCCATACCAGCTTGCTGGATCTTTTAAAAAATGCCTCTTTCTGAAATTGCTCTGACACATTCAATCAGAGCATGAGAGAGACTCATAGACTCATGGCTAGGAGTTCATCACCCCTTCGATGGGAGGTCCCCAGCTTTCCTTCATCCGATGTTTAATAAACTGCTTATAGAGAAAACTCAGCATCAGTCTTTCAGGAAAGCTCACAATGTTGGGGCAGAGAAGATATATGCAAGAATATTTCTCCAGTGCAGGATGCCTCCTGCTCTTGAGCCTCAGACTTGTTTTGGAACTCAAACATCTTCAGTTTTGGAACTCAGACTGGCTCTCCTTGCTCTTCAGCCTGCAGACGGCCTGTTGTAGGACCTTGTGATCAAGTGAGTCAATACTTAATAAACTCCCCTTTATATACATATATATCATTTCCATTAGTTCTGTCCCTGTACAGAACCCTGGCTAATACAAGGTTCATATCTTTTTTCTCAAAATGAAAACTTCAGCAATATATATTTTAAACTTTTTATTTTGAAAATCATCAGACATTCAAAGGGTGGCAAAAATTAGTTTCCAAGTACCTTTTACCCAGCTCTTACTAATGTTAACATCTTACATAACCACAGTACAAGTATTCAAAACCAAATAATAGACATTGGTGTAATCCTATTTCTGGTTCTTTTTCCAATTTAGCATCCAAATTGGGACCTCACAATGCATTTGGTCATCATATTTCTTGATTCTCTTCCAGTCCATGACTGTTGCTCAGTCTTTTCTTACTGTTCATAGCCTTCGCACTTTCAAAATGTACCGGCCAGTTACATTGCAGAGTGTCTCTCAGTTTGGGCTTGTCTGATCTTTTCTCATGATTGCACTGAGATTGCACATTTCTGACAATACCACAAAAGTGACGCTGTGCCCTTCTCAGTGTATCATATAGGCAAGTACATGGTATCAGTGTGTCTTATTAGTGGTGATGTTAACTTGATCACTTGGTTAAGGTGGTTTCTGTCAGGTTTCTTCACTATAGTGACTGTTTTTTCCCTTTGTAATTAGTGTCTTGTGAAGGGATCTTAAAACCAGGCAAAATCCTGTTTCCCATCATACTTCTATTCACTCATTCGGCATTCATATGTTTCTTGTCTGCAACGACTATTCCTATGGTGTTTGCCTAATGGTGTTTTTTTTTTTTTTTGAGATGGAGTCTCACTTTCTGTCACTCAGGCTGGAATGCAGTGGCACAGTCTCAGCTCACTGCAACCTCCACCTCCCAGATTCAAGCCATTCTCCTGCCTCAGCCTCCCAAGTAGCTAAGATTACGGGTAGCTGCCACGACGCCCAGCTCATTTTTGTATTTTAGTAGAGACAAGGTTTTGTCATGTTGGCCAGGCTGGTCTTAAACTCCTGACCTCAGATGATCCACCTGCCTTGGCCTCCTAAAGTGCTGGGATTACAGGCATGAGCCACCACTCCTGGTCTTTTTTTCTATTTCTATCATTCCTTCTAAATTTATGATTCCATTGTGTATGGAATTCTATAGTGTATTTTTATTCAGTGGATTATAACCCATTATTGTCATTATTTTATTGCTCTAATTGCCCAAGATTTGGCCACTGAGGGACCTTCAATTTGGTTCCTGTGCCCTTTCAATATGCCCTCATGTTCTTGTAACCTACAATATATTTATTTTCCCAACATTTACACATAAAATACTTTCTGAATTGCTAATTCCAGCTCCTGTGAAAACTGGCTAACTAGGCTCCGGGATTTGGTACAGCTCCTTTTCTTGCTCTAGTAACCCATCAAAATGCTTTATTTTTCTTGCCCACCTTCTTCAATGTGGTTGTTTCATTACTGACTTTAATTATTTTGGGGGATTTGAGAAACATTACTGTGGTTCTAAGAGTCCTAGTTATACAAAATATACTCAGATACATTCAGCAGTGTCCCATCCCTACCTCCTTTATTACACCATCACGATTTCTCCCTTCTTTCCACTCTACACCCACCTACCATCCAGAGAGATCTCATTACTTTCTGGGCAATCTTTTCTTTCCTACTTTGCATAAACAAGCAGATGCATGTACTTTCTTATATCTCCTTCTTTCTTACCTAAAAAGTACCACATTCTACTTTTTGTACTTTGCTTTTTGCATTTAATGTCTTGAAAATAACTCTATACCGATTCATAGAGACCTTCCTCATATTTTTTTACAGCTCAATAATATTCCATCATGTGGGTATGCCATACTCTACTCAGCCTTTCTTTTGCGTATGAACATGACTTTGCTTCCAATATTTGCAGTCACAGTGCTGCAATGAATAATCTTGGGCATCTGCATGTTTGTACTGTTGGAGGTGCATCTTCAAGGGAAATTCCCACAAGCGGAAATGGTTGTCACAGGGTAAATGGTTCTGCAATTTGTTAAGTACTAAAAAACTCCCCTCCAGAAAAATCATACTAGTTTGCATTCCCACCAACAGCGATGACAGTGTGTTTTCCTATAGCCTTGCCTAATAGAATGTGTTTTTCTTTCTTTCATCAATCTGAGAGATGATAAATGGCATCTTGGTATTATCTCAATTTACATTCCTCTAATGAGTTAGTTTGAATATTTCATTTTAAAGAGCCATTTTTATATCTTTTTAAAATATACTTTTTTATTGAGACAGAGTCTTGCTCTGTCACCAGGTGCCAGGCTGGAGTGCAGTGGCACAATCTCAGCTCACCGCAACCTCCACCTCCTGTGTTCAAGCAATTCTCCTGCTTCAGCCTCCCAAGTAGCTAGGACTACAGGCACATGCTACCACACCCAGCTAATTTTTGTGGTTTTTAGTAGAGATGAGGTTTCACCGTGTTGGCCAGGATGATCTTGATCTCCTGAGCTCATGATCAGCCTGCCTCGGCCTCCCAAAGTGCTGGGATTACAGGTATGAGCCACCGCACCCGGCCACCATTTTTATATCTTTACATGAGTGTGGATGTTCATGCCTTTTCCCAGTTTTTCTAACAAGTTTTTGGTCGTTTGTCCTTAAATTTTTAATTCTTCATGTAGTAAAAACATTAATTGTTTGTCTATGAAATATGCTGGATAAATTTTTCTCCCAGTCATTTGACTTTATTGTGTTTTTATCAAGTATTTTTTTTCTCTTTATGTAGTCAAACGTGTCAATATTTTATTGCCTCTGGATATTTCCAGCACATTTCCTTCTATATTTACATGGTTTCATTTTCTTACATTTGGATCCTGGATCCACTTGGAGTTCATTCTTGCATATGGTGTGAAGTACAGGTCTAATTTCAACTTTTTCCAGGTGGCTTTCCAGTTGACTTAGCACCATTTATTAAAAAGTCTGCTTTGACCTGCGATTGGAAATACCACCTTTAACTCCTCAACCCCCACCCCTAAGAAACCTCAAGGAACATATGACCCAAGAGCAGAGCAGGCATAAAAAGATTAACTGAGTGTGAAATATGGCAAGGTTTCTCTTCAAACAGCCTGCTCAACTTTTTATTCTTTAATTTCGACTACCCACTGCTTTTCTTCTCCTTTTCTTCTCTTTGATTTTAATACATGCCCAGGCATGTCACAGCACCAGCTCACATTCCTGTCCTTATTTGTGAAAGGACTGGCTCTCTAGTCTGCCACAGATGACCTCTTCCTCCTCTCCCCTCTCTCCCATCACGTGTCCACCTTATCTAAGAAAGTTTAAATGTTCAGCCAATCAGGTCTAGTTTAGATTGTATGGTCTGACCCCAGCCGTTGGGGAAAGGACACAGAAGCAGGAGTCACGTTAGGAATAAAAGCTTCTACTGTTCTCTGTTTGGGGTGCTCTCGTGGCAACCAGCCCTATGAGAGGCACCCTTCTGCGCAGAAATAAATTTGCTTTGCTGAGAAATCCTTTATCTCAGCACTCATTTTTCCTTATCTGAGCTCTATTTCTAACACTGAGCTACTGAGATTCATTCAGGAATGTGAACTAAAAAGCAACTGCTGAGAACAAGGCTGGATAATCCAACAGAGCCAATCGTCTGTGGAGGTTATTGCCAGGAGAAGTGTCAGACCCCTGGCACTGGGAAGTGGTCAACTCACGGGTTGGTAAAAAGAATTAACCAACAACAGTATAGGTTTGAAAAAGGAAAGGTATGAGAAAGGAAGAATGCTGCAGCAGAGTGTGGTGGGGCGCCTTGGTGAGAGGACTGGGCATACCATGGTGGATTTTTCCTTAGGGATACTTCCAGACCTTAAAGCAGGACATTAGGGTTGCACAGTGAGTTTCAGTATGGCATTCCAGAGATGTGTAGAAGTTTTAGTTACTTATAAGCTTTTTATGGGAGGAAAGAAATCTGGAACCAAATGCCTGCTTTAGATAATAGGAAAGTCTAATTACTTCTGATTTTCCCCAGATAAGGAATTTTGCCTCTGCCTCTGATGGCCTGTTTGATAGTCACCAAGTTGTCTTTGCTCCCTTCTAAATTCCTCAGATAAGATTTTGTCTCTGGGACCTGTTCAATGGTCACCAGGCAATTTTCACTCTTCTCGGTCATGAGGTGATAGAAAGCAAAACAGCAAACAAGGGAGCTGGATGGGGATGAACCAGAGATGACAAGCAGCTCCTGCGACAGAAGCAGAGGGCCCGTTCCTGGAATCGCCTTGGCTCACCTGTACCGTTCCCACAAACCCTTGCAACCAAAAGAGCCCCATCCCAAACATGCTTTTGAAATCCCAAGATGTGATGGGTGAAATCTGCAGCCAAGGCAAAGGAGACACTGTCAACAAGTTAAAATGATTTATTGCTATTCCAGGCTTCAGATGAGCCCAGAACTCAGGGCTGGTGTGTGGTTCAGAAGTTGTCACGGCATAACAGGGTGGTGGACAAATCCAGGCAGCCCGATGTTGAGGCCACCCTCTCTTCCTTGGACCCCTGCTCCAAAAGCAACTGCTGGTGGTGCCAACTCCTTCCCATCTGCCTCATTCAGTCAACAGGACTCCAAGACTGGGGCAGGCAGCCTTGTGATCCCCACAGCTCACAGCTAAGAGGCTACCCAGACCTCTCTTAAGACAGGAAGAGCCTTTTCCTTGGGACCAGACACTATTGCTTTGGCCCTGTGGAGGGAGAAGCAGTGCCACAGGAGTTGTCTTAAGAGGACAAGGTGGCCAGGCACAGTGCCTCACACCTGTAGTCCCATCACTTTGGGAGGCCAAGGTGGGCAGATCACCAGAGGTCAGGAGTTCAAGACCAGCCTGGCCAACAGGGTGAAACTCTGTCTCTACTAAAAATACAAAAAATTAGCTGGACATGGTGGCAAGCATCTGTAATCCCAGTTACTTGGGAGGCTGAGGCAGGAGGATTGCTTGAACCCAGGAGGCAGAGGTTTCAGTGAGCTGAGATCGTGCTACTGCACTCCAGCCTGGGTAACTAAGTAAATTCTGTCTCAGGAAAAAAAAAAAAAAAAAGGACAAGGTACGCATGGTATGAGATCAGAGGTTGCGAAGTGGCCACCATGAGCCAGCTGCCCCACTGATATATCCATTTGGGACACATCACAACGCACAGCGTTTTAAAAAAAATAATTAGTTGTCGATCTTTTAAAATGGTGAGATTTCATATACAAATCTGGCTTTTTGGCTTCCCTAGGAGCAAACATTGAAACTATCTGGCAATACTGGGCCCACACCATTCTTATGTGGTGCTGACTGATGACAGCTAGGTAGCAGTTGTCTTCACAGACTGGCTATGCACTCTCCAACCTACTCCAGTCCTTGCCACGCTTAATTATATTTCCAACTGAAGACCAGGCCTCAGCGGCCTTGTATCAATGCACGGGCGCTGTGGCTTTCTGTATAGTATAAGAAATATTTACACTGTAGTATTAGCTTTAATCAAAAAGGAAAAATCAAAATCAAGCATGGAAACAACATGTTTCTCATGGTCCCTGTCACCCATTTAAGTCTCTTGCTAGGCCCTGCGGGTACCTGAGTTTGTAAACAACAGAGCACTCCTAATATCACCCCCAAGGGATCCCTCCCCAACACACCCTGACTCTCCAGGATACACTGCACCCTAGTATTAACTGGGCAAATCTAAAAAGGAAATCAAAATTAGTCACAGAAGTTAGGGAAGAAATAGACTAAGAGCAACTGCTTTCATTTCACCCCTTCATTCTAACAGGGGCTGGAGTAGAATAAAAACGTTAATACTGTCACTTTGCTTTTAACTTAGTGACAAAAAAAAAGAGTGAGAGAGGAAGTCATAAAGACTCTTCAGCTCCTAAAACATGCTGGTTCCCATTCCTTGACTGAACAATGCTCTTTAGAGAGAATGTTAATGGGGATGGGTCACATGGTCAGCCCAGAACCCTGGGCTACCAAGAACTGTCCAACTCATCCTCCCTTAGGTCAGGGCTGCTTACTGCAGCCTAAAATGTAAGTGGCATAAAATGAGTTTCAGTTAGGGTAGGGGACTCATTGTAGTAAGAGGATTAAACGGGGGCAGAGAGTAGGAATTTGGCCTTGGCAAACACAAGACAGAGGAAAAGGAACCTTCCTCATACCCCTCCCTTCTGCTGTAGCAGATGCCATGTTACATGCCCTTTAGAGAGGCAGCGATCTTGATGCAGCCCAGACGCTTCTCACGGCTGCTCAGGACGCCCTGTATGCGGTAGTTCCCGGTGGTGAGCCAACTGGGCAACTCCAGGGAAGGCACAATGAATCCGCTCTTGGGCAGTGAGTAGGTTCCCTGTGGGAAAGCCAGTGGACCGCCAGTCAGTGAGAGCCTAGTGATGGGCTCTCTCCTGAGCCACGGCTAGGATTGTAGCCATGAACTACTACCCCTCTTCCCATCCTCAAACTGGCCACACAAGATGGGAGACTGCCATAGCACTGTAGAGCATAGATTATCATAGAAAAGGGGCCCTGAAGATCACATCTAAGTTCAAGTTCAAGTCTCCCACTTCATAGGTGATAACTGATGCTCCCAAAAGATAAGTGACTCCAGATAGGTCACACTGGCTTACAGATCCAGAGACATCCAGACCTGCAAGAGGAGAATGCAAAGACCCTTCTCTCCAAACCCCATCTCTTCAGCCACAGGGGTACCGCTCTCTCCTCCCTACGTACTTACTTCTTTGAAAGGACAGTGGCAAGGAAGCCCATAGGTATGTAGGGGCTCTGGGCAGGGCTCCCCAGTAGGAAATAACATATCAAGCACATCACAGAAGTCTTCGAAGGTACAGCTGCCAATCTGGTCTGTGCATGGAATCTTGATCCAGAGGCCGGCCACTTCCTTCTCCAAAAGTAAATCCACCTGGTAAAAAAAAAAAAAAAAATAGTGGTGGGGGGTTTGAAAAAGATTATAAGTATAAATTCCAGGGCAAACATACCAGCTCTTCTGTGTCTTCAAAAAAGCAGCAATATATTTTAATCATAGAATTTTTAACGAGCTATCTAGGTAAACTATTCACATTCCTTTGTATTTGTGCCCTAATCTCTCTGGCTCCTGCAAAGAGACTCCAGCTGGCTTCAGCCAAGAACTATAGAAAAAACCCTTAGACCTTCCAAAAGGGTTTCAGCTGATACTCTATAACTCTCTAATATGTTTCCCTTAATATTTTTGCCACCACCCTGAGTGAATCCCCACACTTGTGCCCATGGCAGGAATTAATAATCAAACGTGAATTTTTTCCCTACATTGAAATATACATAAACTTCGAATTTTTTTTTCTTTCTTTCTTTCTTTTTTTTTTTTTTTTGTCATGGCTTATTGCAGTCACTGTAGCCTCAACCTCCTGAGGTCAGACGATCCTCCTGCCTCAACCTCCTATGTAGTTGGGAAACACAGCACATGTTACCACACCCAGCTAATTTTGTATTTTTTGTAGCAAAAGGGTCTCACTTTGTTATCCAAGCTGGGCTCAAGCTCCTGGGCTCTAGCAATCCTCCCGAAGTGCTGGGATTACAGGCGTGAGCCATCATGCGCAGCCCATAGTCTTAGAATTCTGTAGGTACTCACTACCAATTGATTGGTTATAACACGTGCATTGAAATGCACTTGTCATCTAACTGCTAATTGGTTAACTGTGGCATTGCTTCGTAGACTTTCCTTCTGAGCCCAGTCTTGGCCCCAGAATCCTTTTCTGCATAGGACTTCAGGTAGTTACTAACAATTGATGAACTGGTTACCAAAATGAACCCAACTGGTTCTTCTTGGGTCACATTTTCTCTGTACAGCCACAGAAGACAGAACAATAGGAATGTAGAGAAAGATCACCTTGGGACTGGTATAAAATCACAGGTAGGTTACAACTACCTCAAGGAGTAGTGCGCTCCCTGACTAAGCTGGGCAAGCTCCAAAGACTCTTGTGCCTGGAATATAGCTGGGTGAGAAGATCTAGAATACACTTCACACCTCCATGCTGTCATGACTCTGCTCCTATTTTGGAGGTCCAAGCTGACCAGGAGGAAGTGGCCAGAATTTCACAGTGGACAGTCCCAGTTGTCCTGGGCATGTGCTGAATAGTCACCATGTATTAGTTCTCTCTAGAGCCAAATGAGGTGTCCCTTAGAACCATGTCCATCACCCACCAAAAATATCAAGGGAAAACTCTAGGGAAGTGCAATAGGAAATTAGCTTTCTCAAATATCTGATTCCTTGCGAGTGTGATGGCAGGAAATCACATTTTTAGGATCCCTTTCAGCTCTGACATTCTAGCATTTTATTTGGGGATCTGTTTTTTGTTTGTTTTTTGATACGGAGTCTTGTTCTGTCGCCAGGCTGGAGCACAGTGGCACAGTCTCGGCTCACTGCAACCTCTGCCTCCCGGGTTCAAGCAATTGTTCTGCCTCAGCCTCCCAAGTAGCTGGGACCACAGGCGCGTGCCAAACGCCCGGCTAATTTTTGTATTTTTAGTAGGGGCGGGGTTTCACCACGTTGGCCAGGATGGCCTCGATCTCTTGACCTTGTGATCCACCCACCTCGGCCTCCCAAAGTGCTGGGATTACAGGCGTGAGCCATCGTGCCTGGCCGGGGATCTGCTTTTAAGAGATAAACCCTGGATAGGCACGTATGTCCTCAGAGCCAACTGGGCTCATGCTGGTTCCCAGGCCATGGACTCGAGTCTTCCAGATGCCCAGATGTCAAGATATTAGCTGCCTTCCTCCAGGCCCAGAAAGAAAAAAGAAATCAGCACATCCTGTGTTCTGAGTGGACAAATTCAAATTGCTCCTCTCACTGGCCTCGTCTGCTGCTGAGACATATATCCATTGTCTCCACCACGGGCCACATAGCACCCTCTCAGCCCTCCTCTCTTTTATCAAAACTGCTTCTACCCTGCTGCCTAGGAAAAGTCAGAGGGCCTAGGTTAGAATGTTGGTTCTGCCACTTCCTAGTATTACTGCACCCTTGGGGAAGGTACTTGATCTCTCTCAGTGGCCATTCCCTCACATTTTTGTTTTTGTTTTTGTTTTTGAGATGCAGTCTTGCTCTGTCACCCAGGCTGCAGTGTAGCGGTATGATTTTGGCTCACTGCAAACCTCCCAGGTTCAAGTGATTCTCCTGTCTCACCCTCCTGAGTAGCTAAGATTACAGGCATGCACCACCATTCCTGGGTAATGTTTCCATATTTTTAGTAGAGATGGAGTTTCACCATCTCTATGTTGGTCAGGCTGGTCTCGAACTCCTGACTTCAAACCATCCACCTGCCTCAGCCTCCCAGGGTGCTGGGATTACAGGAGTGAACCACTGCACCCGGCCTCACTTCATCTTCAAAAGTGGGATATTTTAGAGTGTCTACCTCTCTCACAGGCCCCACTGAGAGGGAAATACCAGCACTTTGCATAGTACCTGAAATCAAAAGCCGCCTCCTCCATGACTTCTGCCCTACCTTCCTCTGCCAATACTCTCTCCTTGTGTCTCCAATACGCTAATGAAAATGTTTGAGCCAGTTATGCCCTGAGCAAGAATACCCAACTGAGGAGGCCAGGAAGGGGCCAAGTCCTGCCAGCACTCTTCCCACCAGGCTGGAACCTGGAGCGGTGCATCTACAGGAGAGGTAGTGCCTCTCTGATCTCTACTTCTACCCCTAGCACAGGACAAGCACGACACAAGAAGTATACTGAACTGTAGTCAACAGAGGGTTCTAAGGCAGCAGCCACACCTGCCGTTTGGAAATTACAAACTATGGCTCATTTCTTATTCTCAATCTATTTGCTACTGTGACTCAGAAAAGGAAGCAGGGTAGAGTAATAAGCCCAGGCACGTATATGACTTTAGGGGCTTGGGGAACCAAGTTATCAGGCCTGAAAGGCTGGAATAAGTATATATGACAAATACAATGACAATTTACAATTCTCGAGGATGGGGAAACCAGAGTCCCACAGGCTGAAACTTGAGGGAGGCTGGGCAGTGGGAGTTATTAACTTTGCCAGATCTCATGGAGCAAGTCAAAAGAGAAAAGGGAGCCCCTGAGCAGGCCCCGATCTTACCCATGGCCATGGAAACCTGGGACATTTAACTTTTAAAAATTGCAGCTAAGGTCAAATCTATCCAGATCCCAGATTTGACTTTTGATTAAAGATATTTCACTACAGCGAGGTCAGGGGAAGACAGGATGGCAGTTGCTTTCTTGGGTTTGGGCAGTCACTCTCCTTTGGGCCTTAGTGTAACAAGGGGTTGAAGCCCTGTGGCCTCAAGAGTGCTCCAGGCTCATCTAGAGCTTAGCTCTGGGCAGCTCTCATAAGTGGGTCTGCTGGGCAAGGGGAGAGGTCTGGAACTAATCTGCAGCACTCTTCTCCCCTCCCCTGCAAATACACCAAGCACTAAGTCTACCCCCCTACCTCCCATGCTAACAACTAGCTTTGTGACCTGAGACAAGCTGCAGCCTTCCCTGAGAGCCTCTGTCCCTCATCATCTCTTCTCCCTAGCAAGTGGTCAGAAGAGCTTTCATCTAATAGTTGATATGCACATACCCTAAAAAGAGAAAAGAACTGAACTAAATACACACACACACAAACACACACAGACACACACACATGAGAAATACTGGCAGCCAGGCACGGTGCCTGATGCCTGTAATCCCAGCACTTTGGGAGGTCAGGAGATTGAGACCAGCCTGGCCAATATGGTGAAACCTCATCTCTACTAAAAATACAAAAATTAGCTGGACGTGGTGGTGCACACCTGTAATCCCAGCTACTCTAGAAGCTGAGACTGGAGAATCCCTTGAACCCGGGAGGTGAAGGTTGCAATGAGCCAAGATTGCACCACTATACTCCAGTCTAGACAACAGAGTGAAATTCCATCTCAAAAAAAAATTGGGGAAAGAGAAGGAGCAGAGGGGATCTGAGGCCAATTTTTACTAAGCACAAGTGACAGTCAAGACTGAGGAGATTATTTAGGCCCAAATTTATGAAAGGTAATAAAACAATGGAAAAAGAGGGTACGGGGTAAAATCCATCTCAATGGTCTGTGAAGGAGCCAGGAAAAGCAGGGTGAGGGCAAAAGAGGGGGTTTGTCAGCTTCTTGTTTCCATGTCAGCTACACAGGCCCTCCCTAGAAACGCCAGTGGTTGCACAGTGATGGCGGGAGAGGGAGCACAGTGGCAGGTCTGCCAGGAAAGCCCACCCTCCAGATTCAGCAGAGGGACCACACAAATAAATGTGTGTGACCCTGGCAGAGAAACTGTTCCGTGTCCATACATAGGAAATAATTCCATCCCTTGGCCCAGATCCAAGGGTGCAGGGCTCGATCCCCTACCATTTGAGGAACAGTAAAGGAACATAATGACTCGGCTAGGAAAAGACTTAGTATGAGGTGCAGGGGAGCTGAAAGCTGCCACATATCCAGGACTTGTGTCTGGGTCAAGAGGCTGCAGGATAAGACAGATACTGATTGAAATGTTCACAAGATCTAACAAGTACCAAGCATGTCCTGGCTGCCAGGCCCTGTGCATTATTTACTAAGTCAGGTATTGCTCAAGGAAAGCCCAAAGGTAGGAGCTGCAATTAAGCCAGGTCTAAGGGTAATGTTAGAAACACAGATTGCAAATCAGTACTCTTTTAAATGATTAACACAAAACTGGTACCAGAATAGATCTGGATCAGGAACAGACTGAAGGGCATAGAGGAACATCATATAAAGGTAGCAATTTTAGCTAGAGGGTAAAGGACCATAATCAATGGTTTTGAAATGGATATATGAAAAGTCTTCATTATTCTGTAAGAAAATATAAAAACATCCGCCCCTAAAATAGTCAATGGATGGAAACAAACAGGTTATTCCCAAAGTAAATACAAAAGGCAAATAAACGT